TTCCTGTAGTCAGCCGCTGGTCAGTTTCAGCAGCGGCTGAATCTGGATGCCAGTTCCGACTTACATACAGATTCAACTTAAGAACAAACCTACAGTCCCCATCTTGTACGTAACCCGGGAACTGCTTGTACATTGAAAGCATTAACCTGCAGTTGAGAGTTAAGCCCACTTTACTTTCAAAACCTTGATGCCTTAAAGTTCACCAAAGCATATCCACTGCATAGTTTCAGCAGCGGCTGAATCTGGATGCCAGTTCCGACTTACATACAGATTCAACTTAAGAACAAACCTACAGTCCCCATCTTGTACGTAACCCGGGAACTGCTTGTACATTGAAAGCATTAACCTGCAGTTGAGAGTTAAGCCCACTTTACTTTCAAAACCTTGATGCCTTAAAGTTCACCAAAGCATATCCACTGCATAGGACAGCTCTTGCTGTTTGTAATTAAAGGCTGAATGAATGCCTGAAATAAATTAAATAAATAAATAACCCAACAAAATAAACAAATATTTACCATATTATGATTTAGAGGTTTCTTTGCTTCCCTATTTACATTTACAAAAATGTATTATCAGTCTGGATGGTGGCCCAATACTTAATTCTCTGCTCTACCAACTGAGAAATCTAGATTGAGCTCTTGCTTCCTGGGATAACAGGAGCAATTGCTGTGCAGACAACATGCTGAAGAACCAATGAAGAGAAAGCACATTGAGTACAGACTGTACCAGAGCAGAGTCCATTATAGACAAGAAGGGCTTGTCCATGCCAGAATAAAAGATGTGTTTTCAAAATGTGAGCGCTACTACATGCACACGGTGCAAGCTGGATTTTAATATATGGTAGCTGGCAGAGATGAATCCTAGAGGGGAGCCTAAGGTTAACCTTGACCAGATAAAAGATGCTGAAATCCTACCAGCCCCATATGCCCCAGGATATTAAAATGTATTTGAGTGGATTCAAATGTGCATTTCACCCTGGTGTGTATGAGCCAAGCACACCAGAGCTGGAAAAGCTTTCTGTAGCTGTAGCACACAGATCGAGGAAAAATGTCAAGAGTGACATCAGGAGCTGTAGGTGGCCTTTATTGATCTGATGAAAGCCTTCTACTCTATCAACCATGAAGATCTGTGAAAAATCATGTCATAATTTCCCAAGCAATTTTATCACTATTATAAGACTCCTCCATGACCAGATGACTTCCTCCATCCTTTGCAATGGACTCTACCTCTGAGCGCTCTCATCTGAAGCGGGATAAAATAAGGTTGTGTACTGGCACCCACACTTTTCTTCATTTTCTGAGTAACTATGAAAATGTTATTACAAGACTGTCTACCGCAGAGCACTAACATCCTGTATCAGACCGATGGCAATCTCTTCGACCTTTCTAATTTCAGTGCCAAAATATTGGCAACAATAACTGAACTCCAGTATGCAGATGATTGCACCATAGTTAAGGATCAACAATATTTGTTTCTGTGAAGTTACAAAAGTCCATGGCTAACTCTGAATAACAGCATAAGAAAAGTTCTCTGCCAGCCAGCTCCTGGTCAGTCATCAGATCCAGCAAGGAAGGTTTATAGCGATGAAGAAAACCTGGGAAAATATAGAGTACTTTACATATCTTTGCAGCCATTTCTCATAGAGGGCGGACATAGATGTTGAGATTCAGCAGAGAATCTACTGTGCCAGCTTTGCCTTTGGGAGCCTGTCTTGCTTAGGTGTTCAACAATTCCAAGAGCAGAACACATACTAGACTTTTAGTTTATGAAGAAATTCCAACTGTCATCTACACCTGTGAGACTGGGGTACCTTTAGAAAATATCTGAAAACATGGAACACCAACATCAGCACTTTCTTTGGAAGATCCTCAACATAGATTGTCACTTCAACACCTTACGTGTTAAGACTCTGATTATCCAGTACCAGCTGAGGTGGAGCAGGCACTGTCTGCACTTGTGTCAGGGCTGTTCCTCACTCTGGCACTCTGAGTTCAGAAGATGGGGGCCCACAAGAGACCTTAAATACCTTGCCTCTATAGGCTCTGTTTACAAAAACTCCCCAGAGTCACATATTTATTAACTTTGGAAGGTAGCTGCCACCACAAAGTGGAACAAAAGAAAACCCCTTTCTTCTTGAAGCCAGGAAGAAAGCTCTTGGACTTCCTTCTCCAGGGATACCCCAACGTCCTCTGCCACAAGAGAGCTTGAAAAAAGAAAGAGACAACAAACGCTCTCTGACAGCTGACCTTTCAGGCTGTAGAGACACATACACACAACTCCTGTTTTTTTCCAGGACACACAAATCAAATCATTGCCTAAAAAAAGGTGATTTTATTAACAAAACAAAAAAATATATTTGATAAAACATTATTAACAAAAAAATATATTTGATAAAACATATCTGGTTGCTAGGTGTTACAGAGCAACTGCGTAAAACAAATTAAAATACAGAGAACATCTCTGAGTATGCTCTTAGATCAGGAACGGGGGAGGGAAGGCACAGATTCAGATGAAGTTTAACCAAACAATCAAAACAAAGTAAAATGCCCTGATCATGACTAAATACACATTTTCCCTTTATTTACTCACTATCCTGATTCAGTCCACCTCCATACCCCAAATTCCTTGGAGGCATGGTAGTCCTGCCTGGGTTTGAAATCATGCTGTTTTCCATTTCCTGGCTTAACTCACCCACAAAGAAAACAGGAAAGGTATCTTATACAATTTAAATGTCAGCACTGTATCTCATTGGTTCTTCTGGCCCCCTGCTAACACACTTGCTAGTTAACTGAGTTTAACCTGTTAGTCATTGGGTTCTGGCCAGCATTCTTATCTATCACAGCTTGCCTGATATATGCTTACCAAAAAAACTGCTGTATACCCTCCTCACCAAAGGAGAAAGTAAATGGGGAGGCCAAAAGAAACACTTTAAAATAAAAACCAAGGGATGTGTCATTAACACCACACACTGGGAAACAGCAACTCAGATAGGAATAACTGGTGAAGACTTGTCAGAGAGAAAAGTCCATTTTTGAGGAAAATTGCCTTGCCCTGGTTGCAGAAAAATGTCTTCCAAAAAAGGACAGACAACTGTCACGCAGTTATCTCAGCTCAAACTTGACTTCCAACACCACCTTGAATATCTGCTAATGAGCTTGTGGCTCAAGGATTGGCTGCCTCAATCACAGAACAACCAATAAAAAATAAAACCTGTGAAAGAAGTCATCCTCAGCCTCAAGAAATCAATGACAATGAAGACCACTCACAGCCTGAGTTGAAACTCCCTGAATGGTTCTCCTCAATTTTCTCTGGACATAGTTATGTAATTTGGCTTATATAATTTTGTAAACAGTTAGCAGGATCCTTTAGCCAGGCTTCTTTAATTGTTCATTGAGTGTTTTCATATCTATTCCAATTAGTGCGGATGATGTACAGCTGCTGGAATGTTTTACCCTAGTGAGCAGCTAGTAATCTGTTAGAATCCCTTCCAGCTATTAAATTTTGTATTTTCTCACCCTGGTTAAATGCTATTACTAATGCAGTAAGCATATAGGATCACATTCCCAGTAGTCTTAGTGCCCTTACTGAATCATTTTTGGCATGCAGCATGAAGCGCCTACAAATGTCAGCAATCTTCTCATTTATATCTACCTGGCTGAATAATGAGCAGGGTCCTCAAGAGGTGTACATAATTAGAAGAGTAATTTTCACTAAGATTTCTGACATTACAAACACAAAGATGAAGTGGTACAGAGACAATCATAGAATACTAAGACTGGAAGGGACCTCGAGAGGTCACTGAGTCCAGTCCCCTGCCCTCATGGCAAGACCAAATACTGTCTAGACCATCCCTGATAGACATTTATCTAACCTACTCTTAAATATCTCCAGAGATGGGGATTCCACAACCTCCCTGGAAAATTTATTCCAGTGTTTGACTACCCTGACAGTTAGGAACTTTTTCCTAATGTCCAACCTAAACCTCCCTTGCTGCAGTTTAAGCCCATTGCTGCTTGTTCTATCCTCAGAGGCCAAGAGGAACAAGTTTTCTCCCTCCTCCTCATGACACCCTTTTAGATATCTGAAAACTGCTATCATGTCCCCCCTCAATCTTCTCTTTTCTAAACTAAACAAACCCAATTCCTTCAGCCTTCCCTCATAGGTCATGTTCTCTAGACCTTTAATCATTCTGGTTGCTCTTCTCTGGACCTTCTCCAATTTTTCCACATGTGTGAGAAACATAGAAAAGAGGCTCTAAGGACAGGCATGGCAGAGAGATAAAGGGCAGACTTGTAGTCAGCATAGGGCCTTGGTTTGGAAGGCAAGAGAAAGAAAGCTAGTGAAGGGATTTCAAGAGTGCAGTGCAAGAAAGGTGATTTTCACAACCAGCATTTTGAATATAGCATGGAATTACACTGTTTAAATTAGGATATGTTTACTTCAAGCTACTTTATTGCTGGTGCTAGAATAATCACTTTTCCTGCCCCATATTATTTTTGCCTTTTCTCCAACAACACGGGCATCATACTTTTCTCCTTTTTTTTCCTTTTTATTTTGAGGTTGTGCAGTCTGGCTATGTCTAGACTGGCATGATTTTCCGCAAATGCTTTTAACGGAAAAGTTTTAAGGGCACTCTATAGCTGATGCTACTGGATGCCTAAAGGAAGGAGAGTAATAGCTGCTCACTGCATGAGTAATTTTTGCTGGCAGATTCTTTGTACATCTTTAGAGTCTCTTTTCTCTTTAAAAGCACCATGTTCATAGAGATCTAGGGAGGGAGCAAAAATCAAGTACAAATGCAGCTTTGGGCCTGAATTATTTTTTCATTTACACAAGTTCAACTTTCAATAAGTTAAATGAGGAGTAGCATGGGTGGAACAGGAGAAAATTACCCATGATGCTCCCCAGAAATGGTGGTGAATTAAGAACTCTTTGGGTCACAGGCTAGTGCTTTAAGGAGGATCCATAACCATGTGCTGAGAAGGACTGATGCAAAATAGTCCATTTGTTACAACATGTTATTGCATGAGCCCAGAACTTCTATCTAGTTTCCATTATGCTTTAAAACCATATTATTTTAAAAGGTTAGGAAGAGAGTATGTAATTAGAAACAAATTTCATCAAAACACGTCAGGTATTTGAAGACAGTATCATACAGTTACATTATTTGTTAAAGGCATATATTGTACAAATGAACTTCTGAACAAAACTGAATTTTAATTTATGACATCAGCATCCTTTTAATTTTTGTTCTTTCAGAGAAGTGGAAGGTGAACTTGAAATAGTGTGGGAATCTACCTCCAAAGAGAACAGGAGAATGAAAGAACTCTTGCATAAATCTCTGGAGAAGAAAACCATGTGGAGTACAGTCAGAGTTTATGAATCAAATTTAGATGAAATCTCTCAGAAGGAATTAATTTCCGGATATGGGTTTAGTTACTGTGATGTGAAACCATCACCACCCACAAAAAATGAAAGTAAACAGGAACCTCTGTTGTAAGGACAAAAGGTGCCTCTAGATCTTGCACAAGAAAGGACGATCCCAAAGAAACAAAACAATAAGTCTATGGCTGAATTAACTCTCCTCAACCACAAAAAATGATCTATCGAAAAGGCATTTATATACTCTTTGATACTACTTTCACTCAAATTGATAATAGCATATTCTCTCTCTAGTAACATTTTTAGCATAGATTTTAGGAATGTTAATGTCATTTGATAAAAGGCCATTGTAAATCCAGTAAAAATCTAGTGCAGCACTATCACCACTATAAAGCCAGCTGTACTTATCAAATTAGAATACCAAGCTCACCAATTATTTTTCTTTAATGTCCTCACAGAGCACATAAATCCTAAGGTTGCTAAAAAACAAGTGAATAGGAAAAGCTCTACTATTTGGTAAATAATGCTTACTTTTTCATATGGTTTAACTGAAATGTTAGTTTCATCTAAATACAATTCTAGTATTCTTTGCAGTGAGGGGAGGAGTCTGTTCCATTACTATGATGCATATTTATTGTAATATTTTACAGCAATTGTATATTGTAGTAATGAAAGCTCAAATTTGGTATAAAGTGAAGGGTTTTATTTCGCAATTCATATAATTATGTTTGATCTTTTTGCAATATTTTAGCTTGCTGCTTAATTTTATTAGCCTAACTGCACAACTGATAACTCATTATGGACTGAAATCAATAAGGTAGAAACAATACTTCTTAAATGTGTAAGTCTAGAACATAGACAATCTCTTGCTTGTTGAGACACACTAAACAGCAAAAATGAAATTAGGGAAACAAAGGTCCTTTCAAATGAACATAAAAAATGCATGCAAATAGGTGTGGATCTGAAAAAGTTCACTTATTTTCTAGACTGTTTTACTTCACATTAAGGTTCTCACTTAGGAAAGCATTGGTATTCAAGGAAGGAGGGCATAAACAAAGGTTTTTTTAAAAAAAGGAAAAAATATACATACAGAAGAGTTTTAATGCCAAAATAGATTCTGAACCACAGACTCCGTCAAGTCCAATAATGATTTTACATGGAAAGTGCTCAGATACTACAGCGTGGGGTGGGCCAAAACAAAACAACTCTAGGCAGCAAGTCTGAAAGCCCGTCAACTGATTCATGGTCATGCTGTCTGTGTAAAACTAGTATGTAAACATTAATGCTTGGACTGGTGGTTAGGCCTCTAAGACCGTCTCTGCTTTGCCAGATTTCAAAGCCTGGCAAAGGCTTGGTATAAAGTGAAGCAATGTCTACACTGCTATTTTTAGTCCCATTGTGTGAGCTCAGTAAGACGGTGAGAATTAACCACAAGCTCAACTGCTTTCCTGAACTAGTCTACACCCTGTGCAAAATCACTAACTTGCAGTTGACATATTACTAGTTCAAATGGTTTTATGTTTAGCATTGCCTTTTAAATCTTTCCCTTACAAAAACCGAATTATCATGCACTCCCTCTTACCCAGACACCTAGCTACAAACTTCTTTAAAATTTCTCATGTTTTTGGGCTGTGACATAAGTGACTTTACAAAAGCCTAAACCTAGTAAGATCAAGTAATACAACAGACAAGGATTGAGAGAATGAGCTAAACCTAATATTTTCATTTACACTTTCATTAATAAATGTAACAGCCCAACCACTCCTGTTTCTTTTAAGTCTTGAAGGTGACTATGTTCATTTGAGAGGGAATATCTACTGTATCAATTCAGCTGATATACAGAAAATATCATTATGGACTACATACATACATAGTTCTGCATTTAATTTGTGTACAGACTCCATTAGCATGCTCAAACAGACAACTTAGACATGCACATACAATAATTGTGCATACATATCACTCAGACACCTGCACTCACTTTTTTTTGGCATGGCCTTATACTTCAGAGATTTTAAAAATCAGGCTCTGTGTATCAGATTTTTAAAAATGGGCGTCTGAATTTCTCATCATAGCATGAGTGCTCAGGCAAAGACTGGTCCTTAAGTACCCAAGTGAGAGATTATACTCCTTTCAGGTTTTAATTACCTGTTTGCACCTGACTGGATGTTTTAGGTTCTTTCTTTAGAAATGTTGCCCCTTCTTGGTTTAAAACTAAGAGAGCTGTGAGAACTATTTCAGTTCTGAACCCACCCTATAAATACACTTCTACCTACTTTCCTCTCCTTTTTCTTTGCTTTGTCTCTTTTCCTCTGTGTAGCTCTCATTTTAGAGTTTTCAATTTAAAATAGGCTTCATGTATCTACGTATTTTCACAATGTAACTTTGTAGCTTATTGAATATTTGCATAAACATGTATAATCAAAGGCTGTGCTCTATGTCAAACATTTGTAATACAAAATTTAATAAAATAATTATTCTTAAAAAGAGGCTGACACCCTGGGAAATTATCTCGGAAATAAAATGTGCATTATATTAAGGAAACTTAGAAAACATGATTGCATATTCTCATGAGGGCCAAATGCCACATTCAGTACATACCAAAGGCTCTCAAAGGCACACAGGAGTTATGCGTGTAAAGAACTGAGATTTGGACCCCCCCCACACAATTGTTTGTTGGGTATGTCAAAATACATAGCTTTAGCTTGTTTTAGCACTAGAAAGCATATAGTGTGTGCAGTATAACTGCTGATCAGTTGAAGAATTCATCTGAGTTTAAAAATCAAACCATACACATTGGAAAACTTTGAGATTACAGAAATTTCTTGATGAACAACAAATAAAAGCATCTTGGCTAGAGTGCACAATATAAAATGGAGTTAATACACACAGAATTAATGATTAGAATAAATATTTCTGCTGTGAAGTCTTCTACAAGGTTTTTTTTTTTTTTCAATTTAGAGTTAATAGAGAGTCTAAATCTCTCACCAGTGAAAGACAAGCATCAGAATTTGTTTAGCTTACATTTCAGAGTATTTTATTTTTAAAGCCTACATATGGGTTGTGACATACTCAGGCCATTTGAATATAGAAGAGTAGCAGAAGGCAGATACACGTGCCACAGGGTAAGCAAGTTCCTGTTCCCTGGTTATCCAAAAGAAAGGTTACTCCATGCTAACTGAGACACTTGATGTCAATTAGCCTGCAAAGAGTCAGTTAAGACTGGTACCTGATGCCAACTAAAATGGAAAGAGTTGAGACTGTTAAGGCAATTGAGACATCTGAAATCAATGAAGGAGCTGCTAGTTCTATTTAAGAACTTCCCCTCCTGAGTCATAAAAATCCCAGAGAAGTTGGGGGGTGGGGTGGGAGTGTTACCAAAGGACTGGGAAGTACAAACACCAACAAGATATAGTAAAGGATGCCCTGAGGTAATGGTGAAGAGATTGAGGGGGGGGGTCATAGGGAAGTGACCCAGGAAATTGTAACCATGCCAGCCAGTGATGAAGGGAAACACTACCAACAGCTACTGCCATTAGGCAGACCCCAGATTAGAGAGTGGGCCCTGGTTGCCCCCACCCCCGAATTCACTGTAGACCTCCCCCCACCGGACAGGGAAGACAAACCCCTGTTGGGATAGGAGGCTGAACTCTTACTAAACTGGAAGTGGCAACAGAGACTTTGGGAAGTTTATTACCAAGTACCTTGCTGGCCTATGACAAAAGTAATAGTGATGTAGCCATGTTAGTCTGGTCTTGCTGAAATAAAAGGCAGGACTATGCAGCACTTTAAAGACTAACAAGATGGCACTTTCTCAGATCAAATTGTGGAAGAAAATTGGCATGACCATATATACCAAAGGGATACAATCAAAAAAAGTGAATACATATAAAATAGACAAATTTTAGAACAGAGAGAAGATGGTGGGGGGGAGGTTAATGTCTATGAGATAATGATATTAGAGGTGATAACTGGGGAAGCTGTCTTTGTAATGGGTAAGATAATTAGCATCTTTGTTAAGGTCCATTTGTAAAGTGTCAAATTTAAGCATGAATGACAGTTCAGATTACTCTCTATCTCCCTCCTGCTACTCCATGAGATCTGTTTCACCAAGGTCTTCAAGACCCTCAGGATATTCACGTTGGTATGGAATAGCAAGAGGGTATTCTCTCAGATGCTCATCGGGTTCATACCATCATAGATGGTATTATGACCGTTACTATGATGACCGCCATTCCTCAGTTGGCGAGAGGTACCCGCTTTTGCAATCCCCATGTTCCAGTAGACTGGTGTCTCCATGTCGTGCACCATTAGAATCCCACCCTTTGGCGGCTCCATCAACTCCTGCGGAGGATATTGCCTCGATCCATACCCATGAGGAACAGCAAGACAAGCACACTCGAAGCTGAGAACCTCATAGTCCTGATTCCCCTGCCGACCACTCATCTTCGTCACTAGACAATGCAGTCTTCCCCAGGGAATTATCTCCAACAGAAGACCATAAGCAATTCAGGAGCTCTTTAAGAGAGTTGCTCAATCCCAGGACATTCAAACTATGGTTGTTCAACAAAAACAGCATCCTTTACTGAAGAACTTGCAACCTTCCCAGAAATCAAAGTTGGCGCTTCCCTTTGATGACGCCATTTTGGAAATTGCCAACAACATCTGGCAGACTCCAGCTACTTCCTTACCAACCAATAAACAGTCGGATAAATATTTTATAAACCAAAAGGGTATGGAGTTCTTGTTTACTCACCCCCAGCCCAATTCCCTTGTCATAGATGCCTCACAACAGAGGTCCAAGACAGCAAATGACGGTAAAAATATAGCAAATGACAAGGAGGCTAAATGTCTAGACATCTTAGGCAGAAAAGTGTACTCTTCCACCACTTCAGCTCTGAGTGTGCAATTATGCAGCTCCCCTTGCAAATCAAGATTTTAACAATTATTCAAAATTAGTTCCTCTTTTAGAACATTTACCAGACTCGAAGTGTCAAATTCTAAAGGCGGTAATACAGGAGGGCTACACAACAGCCCGAACAGCGTTGCAGATTGCACTCGACACTGCCGATGCAGCGGCTCGTGCCACAACTACTGCTGTAGTCATGCACCATTCGTCCTGGTTACATCAAGCTGCTGCCCCGAAAGAGCTGCTAAACAAGGTAGAAGACTTACCCTTTGATCCCCAGTCTCTCTTTGCTCAATCCACCGATCAGGTATTTCACTCAGGCAAAGACTCATGCACAACGTTGCGAATGCTGGGGATGTACATGCCTCCCTATAGACTCAAGAGATACTTGTCCTAGAACAAAAGAGGCCCTTCTCTTATGTGACATCTCGTGCTAAATCATACGAACAGCGGAGACCAAAATAACATATGCAAAAGTGACAGCAACAACCTAACAAAGCATCCGTTCACCAGAAGGGTTGGCAGCTGTTTTGACGGGTTGATCGAGGGACTGTGTACCACCCCTCTGAAGGAGGCTCCAGACAACGTGCAAGGTTTATACCATCATTGGTTGAGTCCTTATCAACAGCGTTGGTCTCTTATAACCACCGACCATTGGGTCCACGACATAGTTACTTCAGGATATGTCATCCCTTTCAATTCTATCCCTCTCCCCTTCCCACAAGACTCTGCTACAGCAAGAAGTCTCTCGTCTGCTTACCATGGGAGCAGTGGAGAGGGTGCCAACTCAATTTCGCGGGAAAGGTTTTACTCTCATTACTTCCTCACCCAGAAGAAATTGGGGGATTGGAGGCCTATCCTGGACCTACGTCAGCTCAACCATCACCAGCGGAAACAAAAATTCAAGATGGTCACGTTAGCCTCTATCATCCCAACTCTTGACAAAGGGGATTGGTTCGCGTCCCTCGATCTACAGGACGCCTATTTTCATATAACAATACATCTCGCCGACAGGCGGTTCCTTTGGTTTTTAGTGGGAGCCGACCATTACCAGTACCGAGTGTTACCTTTCGGACTTTCTGCAGTGCCACGAGTTTTTTCCAAGATCCTGGTGGTAGTGGCAGCTTACCTTTGTCGCCTCAACATCATGATCTTTTTGCATTTGGACGATTGCCTATTAAAGGCCCCCATGCTTGATGAAGCTACATGAGCAGTTACCGCTACCATGATGGTGTTCGAGACTCTCGGGCTCATAATCAATTTCGAGAAGTCCTCTCTGACACCTAGTCACAAACTAGAGTTCAACGGTGCAAGACTCAATTCTCTGACCGCAAGAGCGTACTTACCCATGAAGAGGTTCCAACTAATCCGGGATTTGGTACAGACTATCAATTTCTCCCAGATCCCGCATACTTACCTGTCTACAGCTGCTCGCCCATATGGCGGCGACCACATATGTTGTACCGCACACAAGACTCTACCTGCTCAGCCTTCAACATTGGCTATTTGCTGTTTATATGCCCAGTGCACATGGCTCAAACAGGACAGTTTCTATTCCCAAACACGTCAGGACCTCACTGGTATGGTGGGACAACCTCAGGAATATGTTAACAAGGGTCCCCTTTCACTGCCAGAAGCCTTCACTGCAGATCACACCGGACGCTTCCCTGTTCGGCTGGGATATCCATTTGCAGGAACATCAAGCTCAGGGTCTCTGGATACCGCAAGAATCCCTGCAACACAAACTTCCTTGAGTTACGAGCAGTGTTCAACACTTGCAAGCATTTTCTTCACATCTGAGGTCTTATGATCCAGATTCTCACCGACAACATATGCACAGTGTATTATATCAGCCGGCAAGGAGGCGCACGTTCACGCCCCCTCTGTGCAGAAGCCTGACATCTATGGAACTGGGCGAATTGGCAGGGTATTACCTTGACTGCATCATACCTTCCCGGCAAGGACAATGTTATCGTGATACCCTCAGCAGGCACTTCCTTCCCCAAGACGAATGGGAGTTACACAACGAAGTTGTTCACAGCCTTTTCCAACACTGGGAGTTCCCCAATATAGACCTCTTCACCACCCGTCGCAACAGGAAGTGCCATCAGTATTGCTCACAGGCAGGCGTCAGCACAGATTCCTTGCTTTCCTGCTCAACTGGAGTCGCCACAACTGCTCTACCCCTTTCCTTCTCTCTTGCTCATCCCAAGGGTGCTGGAGAAAACAACATTGGAGGGTGCAACAGTAATTTTGATAGCACCCTTCTGGCCCTGACAAACGTGGCTAACACAATTATCGAGAATGTCGGTGGCCCAGCCATGACAACTACCGAGGCTGTTCAATTTACTGTCTCAACAACGCGGCACAATGATCCACCTGCACATTGAGTACATGCACCTGACAGCGTGGCCTCCTAGCTGGCTCCAAAGGCAGGAGTCGATCTGTTCTCAGGAGGTGAAGCACGTGGTGCTTAACAGCAGGCAACACACTAATCTCAAGACTTACCTTCAGAAATGGTACCAGTTCCAGTCTTGGTGTTCAGCAAGAGATCTCGGCCCTCTCTCTCCTTATCTATCC